TTGTACACTCGTTACGCAATTGTCTACATAAAAACTGTTGCGGAGTTTTTCCAACTGTTCTTCAGAATATTGTATCTTGAATGTCTGTTTGGACAGATGATGATGAATGACAGCCATCAATAAGAAAGGACTACTGGTTAGACCGAAAACAACTCGGCGATGTCTATAAGTCTTCAGTTCATTTTGTTCATCAATCAAAAGAAATCGTAAATAATTCCTATCTCTTTCATTTAGAGAGATTTGCAGAAATGCTCTTCTAATGTCAGAAATAACACCAATTTCATACAATCGAAATCGAGCCAAAATGGATGGTATTGTCTCAATAAAATTTATTCCAGTCTCTAAACAATCATTTAGTGATGGGAAGTTCGGATTCTTGGCTGAAGCGTCAAAGACGGGTCTGATTTTCAAAGAAGTTGTCGTTGACTTTTCCTTAATAATTGGGCGATGTGGGAGGTAATGTGTACCTTTAATTGACAATTCTTCTTGTGGAACTTTCTCAATCACTTCTTCTTCTATCCATTCATCAAAAACTTGCTGGTATTTCTTTTCATATCCCGTTTTTTCTAATTTCTTGTTAGTAGATTTTAATCTTTTAAGAGACAACCCATAATTATTCGGTAATAAAGCATGATCCTTTTTCCATGGTAAGCTTACTTCGTATCTTCCATCTGAATTTTGATAAACTGTGTCTCGAAAATGAATCATAACTGCCCTCTGTGTATCTTCTCTAGTGTTTTGTTCCACAGGGTCTCTAATACCAAGTAATTCTAAATCCCCCGTGTAGTAAATGGTGACTGATGCACGTCAAATCTTTCGAGTCGCAAACTCCTCCATGTTCCCATAACAAATCAATACCTCTGGGGATACTAATCCAGGAGTTTCCTTGTCTTCTGGATTGGTCCAAAATTACAAGGCTACGGAGTTGAACATTAGTAGTCGTAATTCCAAAAATTGGGTCGGCTGTTCAACGACGGATATAAAATATAACCGTTGAAATTAGAGCTGTGGTAGCTCAGGGTATAGGGCGTTCGCCTTCCAATGAGATGGCTTGCTTCGAACCCCAGCAATGGCTAGTCGATATGAATTCCGCATCCGGCTTGCACCGACCACAGTGCTGATGTAAAAAATCTACCATGGTAGATGGATCATTGGTTAGAGTTCCCTTGCAATCGGTCATACTATGGGTAGATTTCGTGATTTTCCTCTCAATGTTACGGAAATGTTGGTGATTCCATGAAAAATTTCTTCACGAATGTTAGTTTGTCCCAATGCTTGATCCAGAAATTCCCTTGTCTTCTGGGATGGGTTCAAAATTACCAAGCTATGGAGTTGAACGTTGATAGTAGTAAAATCAGAAATGTCCACCGGTTAAATAAAACATAAAATATACCCATGACCACATGATCTGATAAATACTCCAGCTATTAATATCAGCAATAGAGTCCTTAAGGTTAGTGAAATTTAGCATATTTACAGAGGAGAAAACGATTTCAAGCTCAAATTTATTCAAAATCAATTTATTTGTTTGCATTATTCAATTAATTGTTCCCGCCAAACTTCATCACACCTGTTTCTTACGTCCCTTCTTTGATTATATTCATCAAACTTGTTCCTCCGTCCTTACTGGTTGAAAAACTTTGCTCGTGTTTGTCTCTTTATTTCTCAATTATCATTTGGTGCTTAGACACTGAGGAAGGTTCTTGCTCATAGAACCGAAACTATAGTATGTCCATTTTGCACTTTTATTTGTGCTTCATTCACGTCTTTATTCTTATTTAGTCTACATAGCACAAAGTATACCCTATCCTTTTTTTCTTATTGCATTTTCAGGGATATTAATTAATCAGGGAAAATAACATAAACTGGTCGCATTAGTTTTGAATATGCTTGCAAGATTTTTGTTTCAAATATGGCAGTGGTAAGTAAAATAAGGCAAAAAATAATGGATAAATAAATATTCGAATAAATCTTTAATAAAATAGTTCGGATGCGACTTCTTTTTACCCTGATTATAGCCACTTTGAAAATTTCACCTGGTTCATCACCTCAGCTCTTTTTATGAAGAAAAAAAAAACGAAAAAAACTAGAACATAACTGCATATGATCGTGGTGCCTTTAAACAAATGCACTTAAAAAAATAACACTACTTTCCTGCACAGTTTGAAAATGTGCTTTAAGTCGTCCGTGTTTATGAATTTTTAATTTATTAAGATATTATCCCACTAGTTCAGTGTTTCCCAAAGTGTGGTACGCGTACCCCCAGGGGCACGGAAACAGCTTAGCGGAGATACGCGTTAATAATTAGTGGTGTCAACAGCCAGTCGTAATTTTTAACTTTTGTGCAATTTTTTTATCATTCTTCTCACTGATGCAAATAAACTTATTAACAAAACTTAGTACCGAAAAAGAAAAATAAACATATTTTTAGAAAAATACATTCATTTTTTTATATTAGTGGTACACAGCGTTAAGAAAAATTTAGAAAAGGTACACAAAAGTCATAAGTTTGGGAAACACTGCACAAGTTTAATAAAGATGTGGTAAGTTAAAATCCGAACTGAAACTTTTAAAATACGAACTGAAACTTTGATGTTAGCGCATGTGCGCCTTCTTTGGATAACCTCCCCCAAATAATTCTCTTCTACATTAATATTAGATGGTTAGTTTGTCTGCCTTTAATAGTATACCTTTGTTAATGTTGTTTTGCCAATAAAATATGTTATTAATTAGTACTGGCAAAGTAAAACACTGACAAAGTAATTTTAACAGAACAGTTAAAAGAAGCAATTTTAAAGTAAATTTATTTTCTACAAAATATAAAGTTAAGTACATTCCAGTGCTATAGTATTTACTGAAATTTTTATAATCAATGCCTATATTTACTAATTTGAACTTTGCATAATTCAAGCTTCTTTTACACCCCCCTTCCCCACAGAAGTTCGAATTATTTAGAGTCGATTGTATACTCTCTTTTATCCGCGAGTTAAAAACCAAGTAGCATACATATTTTTAAGAAGGTGATAGGCAGAAACAAATTAGTTCTGTTATAATTAACTATTACTACGCATTGATCTGTTGGCTTACAACTTCCTAATTACTTTTCTAGTCTTTCATCTTGACTTTACGATTATTATATAAGAAATTTACCAATTTTTTCCATTACAAAGCTACTTGTATGATTTTCTTCTTAATGCAGTAATTTTTGTGTTTTTGAGGTCTTTTTTTTAAAAAAAGTTTTTTTGGGGGATATCAGATACAATCTATAACATTAGTAATAATGTACAGGGCGCTTATTACAAATTAAAGATAATTTCTTTAAATAGTTTACTTTTTAGCTTAAAAGAAGGAATAAGTAGATGGCAAAGAGGAAAAGATAACTTATTTATCAGGCTAGTGACATAATCGTTACGTAATTTCAAGGTCTGAATTAATAATGAAACATTTCCCGCATATTTAATTAAAAGCACTTTATCTATCAGAAGATAACTGAAGTATTTTGATAATTTAANTTTTTTTTTTTTTTTTTGACCTAGATAAAGCTTTTTTTTTTTTTTAATCTTTTGAGCATAGTTCTTTTAAATAGATTTAAATTTTATTTTCTATTTCTTTTTTCAGTAAAAAATTACCATAAAATTTGTGTTAAATAGTAGGTTATTAAGAAAAAGGTTCAAATTTTACTACTCTTTCGAAAAGCTAATGAAATCTTAATCCTTTGTAGCCACATGATAGCTCGTCAGTTAGCATTGAGTTCCAACAAAAAAGGACTAAATACTGATACTCAAGGGATTAAATATTGTAAAAGCTCAATATTACGAGTACTGCATATTACGAGAAGTCCGCTATTACGACAAACTTCCTGGTCATCGTCAAAAAACTATTATTATTATTATTTTTTTAATGGCAGGCACTTGGATCTATAGTTTGTCTAAGCTAAGAACTCCTCCCGCCACTAAGTCTGAGGCCGTCTGGTGTTACGGAAACAAGAATGGCGTATTTTAGGGAGGGTAGCTTCCCTCTAGGAATAACACTATAGACCGAAGAAACAGATTCCCTTTCTCTCGCCGATCCGAGGCGAAACCTCTGCAAAACAGTGACCCCGCACCCCTTCTTGAAATAGTCATACCTCGTTACCATAAACACCATCACAGGTCCAGACAAATATCTGGGGGAGTTCTTATTTTAGACAAACCATATTTCCCATTGTCTTCAGAAACGACAGAATTGCTGCTCTCTTATCGTTACTCAGTGGCACAAGTGGCTAAGCAACATATGCCACTTAGCCACACGTGGGTACATGTGGCTAAGCCCCGGCGCTAGAGTAGCGTCGCCCACTTCACCAACTACAAACCCGTTTATAGGGCGGGTTGCATTCACACAGATGAAAGGACATTGAACACAGAGACAGCGAGAAAGTTACATCCATGTCTAAGGTGGGATTCGAACACACAACCACCTGCCCCGTAGTCCAGTACAGTAACCACTAGACAGATCGACTTATAAAAACAAATACTAGAGAAACAAAATTTTATGTTTTTAGCGCGTTAAAAACTACTAGCTTTCCGCCATTACTATGTTTTGGGTATTTTTTCTACTGTTTAATTGAGCAATATTATACGAAAAATACATAAATGGAAGACATTTTTACTTATTTCTTGCATCAATACAAAAAACAGAAAGACGGACACCATTGTCTTCTTAAAATTTTCTCTCTTTATTTATTTCTTATTTTCATAAAGCAATGTTTGTATGCAATGTCGTAAATCAATGTTGTAAAGCAATATCTATCATGTGGTAAAGCAATATTCTCTACATGACAACTAACTATTAAAATTAACATTTACTGTAATTAATGATGTCGAAAAGTATTGCATTTCATTCCATTTTTTTCGAACATAAACTTCTTACGATTTAGAAACATGTTCAAAATAAAACAAAAAGAGATTAATATGGATATTTCATTTTTCTTTTTCTATTAATGTTACTAGTTATTTTTACGATAAATATTTGTCTTTACTTATACGGCAAGCTCGCTAAAATGACAATTTCATCTGGTATAATGAATTGTAGCTAAAGCGCATATTTATGTATATTTTGTGATTAGAAAATCATTCCCCAGATTTGAGCCGAATAAACACTACACATTTACATAAAATATTAATCAATCGATAATGTACTTACAAGGTTACCGATGGTTTGTTAAAATTTTTCGAGTGGAAGCAAATGAATAATAGATGCTAGTGAAAAGTTCACCGATTTAATTCGAAAATTTCAATCAAATTTTATCGATTATCAACTTTTTCTTAAAGTCATAGGTTTTCGATCTTTCGATTCAGTTAATTGCAAACACCTATGAAACAATTAAACTATTAGGGGGAACAGCAGAACAAGTTTATTAAGAAGTTTATTAATTACTCTAATTTTTTTCCCTATAAAGTAGCCTTTTTCTTTCAACTAACATGCCATTCCTATAAAACTTTATTTTTTTGTTAAACCAATAAAAATATCATTATTGCTTTGAAACGTTTTTTTATTCAAATTATTTTCAATTGTATTCTTATTTAATTTTAATTAAATTATAAATTTTTTTCTTATAATTTTGCCTAGTTGAATTTCTTTTGTTCATTTTATTTTTTCAAACTAATTAAAGAAAGTTTTAAATCGTTTTTTTTTTTCAAATGTTAAGAGTTGAGAAAGAAATTAAATTT